GTTGGGCAGCAATATAGTTGAGGGCCCCGCAACTGTTAGATATCGGAATCTTATAAACCATTTTGGGTGGACGGCGCCTTTAAGTCTAGGATATTTTGCTGGTACTATATGCCAATCTTAACCTGCTCAAACTAGATAGCAGAAAGGGAAGTTGTGTAGGATAAGACTTTATTTGCTAAAAAGCCTGCGGTGGAAGCCTTCATAATTAAACACTCTGCATGCATATTAAAAAGATCGTATTTGGTTAGCACATCTGTAATGCACCTTTTTACATGATTTTGACTTTACTTATGGAGCAACTTATGACATAAGCAGCCATTTTTGCCAATTTCGACATCGCATTTAAGGGTACAGTAGTGTGACAGTAAAAAGGGGAGACTTTTCGAATACTTCAAAATTTGCTGTAACTTGGCAAAGGGGTATTCGACATGCTACAAAATGATGCCCACTACGTATTAATGGGTCTATTTTGTAAGGTAAAGTTTTTTTCATAGTATAAGTTAAGTATACGCTAATGTCAACCGCGTGTTGACTTATCTCACTGTACGAAGTTTTAGCTTCTGAGGTTTTGCGTTTTTGAAAACAAGTGGTTTGCGCGGTTTTGTAGCTTATATCGCAACCTGTAGTGTTTTAGAAAATTACTGGTGTCGACGGCTGCGAATACGATTGTGAACAAGTCTAAAGTGAGAATTTTCATGCGCGAAAAAAAAGAAAATCGTTCTTGCGTAGCCACCATCACCTTTCCTTCTTAGCATTAGATGATTGAACTGTGTCTTTCTTCTCAAAAAAATATGCTTGGTTTCGCAAGTTTCCAGTGTGCAAGCAATAGTTCGATGATCTCACATCATCTTCTCTTGTACAACAGTAAATTCAAAATGAAAACCGGCGCGCGAGCTTTCTCTCAGGCAGAACACACAATATAGCTAGGCAAAGCGCAGAAAGAAGTGCAATGAGAAGGATGCTTCACGAGAAGGAGTAGCGCTATTTCGGTTATCTGCGCATGGCGAGTCGAGAAAAAAAATTAGGAGACCCTATTACACAGTTCTCACACTTTTCTGAAAATTTTTGAAACAGCACACGGAAGTACCGCTTGCTGAAGGTTTGGTCACGGCCCAAAATTTTGCTGACCGCTTGCAAAAAAGCGCGAATTTGCGGATCGCCTGCACCCCGCGATTATCTGAGTGTTTGATCTGTTTTTTCAAACTTAGACATCATGCGCCCGTTGGAGGTCGTGCTGGAACCATTC